GGGAGGGGGGCTGTGGCCCGGAGGAGGGTAGCAGGCCGGAAATCGCCGCCTAGGAGAGGGCCGGGGTCACCACGCCACACTTGGTGAAACCAAAGCCCGGTGAACGGGATGTGCTGCATATTGCATAGGTGGAAGCTCCAGGTGATGTGGGAGGTTACTGATTTCGGAGTAAAGCAAGGACACCGCACCGCGAGGAGCGGTGCTAGCAGCTGCTGTTAATTTTCTAGTTAGAAATTCTGCGCTGTGCTTTGGGCTCAAAACACAAGAGGCACGGAGGAAGTGCAATTTATTTTGCAGTGCTTGAAGCTCGACTGAGCACACCGACCATTAACGTTGCTCTTGAGGCACTCAATGGCTGTCTACAACTTTTGCTTCTCCTTAGTATATTTTCGTGGCTGCTTCTATACTGGAAAATCAGCTGGAGGGAAGAGCGAGGTTAAATATAGCCATTACTGATTACAGTGTCTCACTACTGTTAATATATGTGTAAGTTTTATATGTGTAAGCTCATTTAATAATGCTCACAACCGGGGCCTGGGGCGGTTGTCCGTAGAGTGCTTGCATAGCATGCAATAGATTCTAGCAATAGGTTCTGGGTTTGAGCCCCAACAAAGGATTAAAAAAAAAAAAAAGTTAATAGTACTCACAACCTTAAACTTAAGTTGTATTGTTACTCTGTCTCATACTCTGTGAAATTCAGATTGATAACTTACCAAATCATACAAGTGTGATAAGTGGTAGTATTAGAATTAAAATCGGGGCCGGGGATTTTAGCTCAGCGGTTCAGTGGCCTGCCTGGCAAGCACAAGGACCCGAGTTCAATCCCCTGTACTGGAAAAAAGAAAAAAAAGAAAAAGAAAATCAGATCTGTAAGATTTTAGAGCAGAAACTTTATGGCTTAATATAAAAGAACATTATTCTAGGTTTCAAGTCTATGGTTTGAGGTTGTTAGCTGTCTGACCTTGGCAGCACTTAACCTGTAGGGCCTATTTCTACATTTGTAAGATAGAGATAATATCCACTATGTAACAGAGTTGCTATGAGAATTAAATAAAATCATATTCGAAAAACATGTAGCAAAGTACCTGGCACATACATCGTGCTGTTGCCATTAGTTGGGGTTAGCAAACAGATCAAGTGGCATATGTGATGGCAATTAATAATGGTATCAGTAGATGTCTCAGGCCTTAATTTGTGGTACTCGGGGACACTTTTTGCCTTTGTGAAAAAATGTAAAAAAGCATTTCCTTTTGGCTGAGAATTGGAAAATGCATCTCACTCTGGGCTGAAAAATTTCACAGCAGAAAGTCTCCAGGATTGGACCATGCTGAGGCTCTCTGAATATGAGGTGGAATTGAATTTCAGGTCTTTATGGATTAAAAGGCACTTGGCAGAAACCCCACAGTGAGTGTTCAGTTCTCTCTCAAGATTTCTTCTCTCACCTCTATCCTGGGAAGAAGAGGAGGTTCCAGGATGGGAAAAACAGAAGGAAGGATTCTTTGCCTCTAAGGGTATCTTAATGACTGGACACCTCCCATAATTCTATAACTGAATTCTTTAAAGACAATGGTCTTCCTTTCCACATAAATTTAAGGCAATCTGACAACTGCACGTCTTAAAATATGTTTTGAGCTGGGGCTGGAGCGCAATGGTAGAGGACTTGCATGGCATGTGGGAAGCGCTGGCTTCAATGCCCAGTACTGCAAAATAAATAAAACATAATTTTATTAGTACTTTTTATAATCCCATTTCTATTACCCTGAAATCTGCTTAGACACCCAGTTCATACTGGGTTCTGACAGCACTCCCTGTCAATTTTTGGTATAGTTTTATACTTTGCTCTTTTTCTTATTTGTTTCAATCTTTCTAATACAGTTTTCCTAAACTTTCTTTCATCATTAATTTGTTATGTTAGAAAGTATGTTTCTCAGCAAAATTCAGCAAGTTAATGTTGGATGTTCAAAGCAATTTTAGAACATTGTAACCTTCAGGGATTTATAATGAACCATCACTTCCTATGAAAGCATAATATTTTGGGTAGATCTTTTAGCAAGAATCAGTGCAACTTCCATTAGTGTACACAGTAAGTTTGAGGAGTCTAAGATAGGGCAGTCCTATCATGTATCTTCTATTACTTTTACTTTACAATCTGGCTTTCTTCCTGCCAGTGTTTTCCCTTTTTGTTATTCTGAAGTCAGTGACCAAAAAAATTAGGTAGGATATTGGGTTAAAAAAATTTGCTAAAAGATTGGCCAAGAAGGTTTAAATTACCACTTATCATAGATTTATTTACCAACATTAAGTTTCTGATAATACAAAGGAGTTATTATGTATATACACTTTGATAAGATTTAGATTACATGTAAGCCAACTATACTGGTTCAAATGTATTTGTGGAAAGGTTGGGGGGTAGTATTGGGATCCTTTTGAAAAGGCTCTACATTCTTTTTATATATAACAATTTAACAGAATATAATAATAACTTTAAAAAGATATTGAAATTGGTCAATGTAATGGTCAAATTTACCAATTTACATTAGGTAAATACAATTTCCCCATGCAAAATAAAAGGAAATATCATGCAATCATTTTGTAATGTCCTCTTACCAAATGGATATATTATGTCTTATTTTCCTGTGAAAATTACCAGATTTTCATTGTGATTACTACACTGTCATCAGGCTATCCCAGTATTTTGAAGCTACTAGTTTACTAACTTGGGACCTTGTACTTGCGAGGCAGGCAGTGGAACCACTGAGCTAAATCCCCAGCCCTGCCTTCAGACTTTCAGATGATAATCAGTACGTGTAAATTAGATATCTTGCAAATGTAAAGAGAAACTTGGTCTACTTTTCTATCTGTTTAGGGACCAAAATTTCTTTCACTCTTAAAAAGAGTAAAAATCAAAACTACAAGTATTTCCTGATAGTGATGTTAAAAGTTTATAAAATACCTAAAATTGCACCCCATCTTCAATATTACTTGCTTCCTTTTCCTGCTTTTCCTCTTTAGTGCTACCACCTGACGTAGTACCTATTGTTTTTACATCTCTATTAGTGTGTAACTATAGTGTAACCTCGCAAGGGCAGGGAGGTTTGTCTATTTTATTCATTGTTGGTTCCCTAAGCACCTTAGAATAGTGCCTAATACATAGTTGGCTGTTCATATGTATTTGTTGAATGAAATAGTGTTGAGCTGTTCACAATTAGAAACTGTAAAAGTTAAAACTTGTTGAAGTGTGTATGTTAAGCAACTATGACACCACTGTTCTTTTTTTTTTTTTTTTTTTTTTTTTTTTTTTTTTTTTTTTTTTTTTTTGGTTTTTTGAGACAGGGTCTCACTATGTAGTTGAGACTGACCTGGAACTCACTGTGTAGCCAGGCTGGTCTCGAACTCACAGCAATCCTCCTGCCTCAGCCTCCCGAGTGCTGGGTTTACAGGTGTGCGCCGCCACGCCCGGCTTTACACCACTATTCTTTAAATCAGAAAATGTGTAAATATTTCAACATTCTTAGTACAGTATACAAACTGTTATTATTTATTTATTTTGGTTCTGGAGATGCTAACTCTACCAGTGAGCCATATCACTGGTCTTATAAACTTTTAAACTTTGAGAATAAAGTGGTTGTTGTAGCCTTAAACTGATGCGGTTTTCATATTGTTGTTCAGCGTGAACTAGAGAGGAGCACATAATGACAAAATGTGAAATGCCCGTCTTACCTAGTTAAATATTATACATGCCTCGCTAAGAAGAGAAGAGAGGGAAGGGAAACAAGCTTTGGAAAGCATGCATTTTGTGGTGGATATTAGTATTATGGCTGTTATGTAGCTATCCCCTCAAAGCTTCATGTTCTCATGGGTGGGGCTTTTAGGAGGTGGCTGGATCATGGGTGTGTGATACTGGATTATGGCTGTGATAACTGGATTAGTCTGCTGATTGGTTTAGCATAGTTCTGGTTGTGGATGATGGGAAGATCCACCCTGGGTATGGGTGGCACCAACCAATAGGTTTGTAATTTGAAAAAATGAGAGAAAGGAAGGCTCCCTCCGTATTGCCTCCTCCCTGCCATGCTATGAACTGTTTCTCTGCCATGCCTCTATACCTTGCCGCTCTGCCTTGGAACCAGCTGACTATGGCCTGAAACCTCTACAAACTGCAAGCTAAAATAAATCTTTCCTCTTTTAACTTGTGAGTATCAAGTATTTTGTCCCAAAAATGAGACAGTAACTAAGACAATAGGGCAGGTGAAATGTTTTGATGGCCTTTTCAATGTCTAGGAGATTGCAGAAGGTAGAGAGTTCTTAAAGTGCGCTTCATGAAGGGCCTTAGGTCCCAGCAGATTGAGGTAATTTAACAAATTCTCTAGACTGCCTGCTGCACAGCTGGGCAGCAGCTTTACTGAGATCTTATAATTTTAAAACTTTTCAACTGTGCATCCTGGGGATTTTAGCTATGGGAAGCAACTCTGATCTTTATTGAGGTGGAAAAGTTTCTTCACTTCAAAGTGGTGTTCTTCATAGCCAACTTTACCACAATGCTTGTTTCTAAAGTGAGAAAATGCTGAGTTGTGGTCACTGCTTCTGACTTTTAATATCTCACTCCTTGAACCTATGATAAATTGTTTCTTTGATAGGCTTGAAAATCTGGTCAATGCTATTTCTGAAATGTATCTACATTAACCAAGGGATTAGAAAAAGAGTATAACCTGAAATACATATTAAGTCAACTCTGTAGCCTGCTGTGAATTGGGGAATAGAATAATATGTCCTCAGGATTTTTCTAGAGAAATTAAGGAAGGAGCCTTGGTTGATTGCTTACTTGACAGCCTTAAGGTCAAGGTGAAATTGTGCCTTGTGTGAAATCCTTATTTTTAAGTAAGAATGAGGGCCGGGGTTTTAGCTCAGTGGTTCTGCCACCTGCCTTGAAAGTGCAAGAGCCGGAGTTTGATCCCTGGTACCGAAATAAATAAATGAATAAATCTCAACTCTTTGGTACTAACTCCTACTTTCCCCGATTCTTTTCTTTCTTTTTTGGGGGGGTACTGGGGATCGAACTCAGGACCTTGCTCTTGCGATGCAGGTGCAGCACCATTGAGCTAAATCCCTGGCCTGATTTTTTTTTCATATAGAGCTTTTTTGTTAGTGGGAGATGGAGGCTGTGTTTGGAAAACTTTCTCCTTTTCCTTCTATTCATCCTTTGGTTCTTGTATAATCCTACTAGTTGTAGTACCACTTCCTAAGCAAGTTTTATATTCACGGTAGTAAAGTTAGTCATAGAGCATTAACTGGTACATGCCTGTAATCTTGGCACTTGGGAAGTGAGGTAAGAGGATTGCAAGTTCGAGGCCAGCTTATGCCACATAGCAAGACACTATCTCAAAAAAAACAAAAAACAAAAAAACACCAAAAAACCAAAAACAAAAAAAACATTTATAGCTAAATGGATGCTTATTGAGGCCATACTCTTAAATTAAATAAATAGGACA